TTTGGTCAGTGTGTCAGAAGCTGGACTTTTATTTTGACAGCGTTGAGAACGTCAGTGTTGAGACATTCTCCGTCTTCATTACTTTACGGTCTCTTCTCAACATTTCAGTCTATACATATTTTTAACAGTTTCTTTTATTTGTGAAGTTTATTTTACAAATTCATTTTATTATTTATAATTATTTTTATAATTTATTATATATTATTATAATGTTTATTATTATTATTATATAATTTTTATTCTAATTATTTTATTTATTATAATTCATTTTCAAATGATTTATTTCTAATTTTGTAAATATTATGTAAAATAAATATTCATATTATTTTAACAATTGTCGTACATGCATTTTTACTTTTTTTTTTTTATTAAATAGTATGATATCATATATATCGGCTTTATATCAGTCATCCTGCTCTCTAAGATATTGGCATCAGCTTTTAAAAAATCAATATCGGTTGACCAATAATTACAAGATTGATGTGCATTGAAATATAAGTGACATGCACGATGCACAATGGGTTGTTAAAGTTGGCCTAAATGAAAAGACAAACCTGATGTTCCTCTCTTGATTTTGCATGCATTAATGCAGCGCTTGATTGATTCTCGTGGGACGCGTTGACTAAATTAAAAGCCTCACTTTGCTGAACCTGGAAGAGGTCAAGTTTCTCATTAACTATCAGTCATCAGATGCTCACATTATACAGCACACCCTGTTTAACCTCATTTTCAGTGTGTTTGTTCATGGTGCACTCAATTACCTCAAACTTCACCCGGTCAGAGCCGCCGTCAGGCTGCTTTTCACCTCTGTCTGTTAAAGCCTTCGCTTTTTCACTCTCTTCTCTGCCAATGTCAGATGTGGACACTGGACAGTCATAAATTGGTGTCACTCCACAACAGCTTTATATTTAGACAGCTTGTTTTTTCATTGCACTCGCTCGTTCTCTTTTGCATATGGCTCTTTTAATCATGTGGATGAATTTGTTAACATTTAATGCAGTTTTTATGGGCTGGACTCTGTGCATCCAGGCTAATGTTCCTGATGGGACGCTTGCTTTGTGTCAGCAAATCCAGGATTTTAATGCACTTTTATTCAGCACTTTCTTCAATGGTTCTCAGGAGTGAGGAGGTTTTATATGCATAAATAATTCATTCAGCAGCACAACTTACCCACGTACTTCACTCTCTGCGAACCTGCATTTTACCTCTTATTATAATAGTAATAATAATGGCCTTCTAGCTCTTCATAAGGTGCTTGTAGACTGAGATTTTTCATTGTTTTTCTGTCTAATAATCGCTTTATTTCCACAGATAAATGTGCTTTGTTGTGGTTTTACTTTATTACTGCTTTTACTCAGACTGGTATAATATACATGACTTTGGATAAAAAACATCTGCTAAATGCATAAATGTAAACTGAAGCACATATATTAAAGGTTTGACTGATATTGGTAGCTGATCATTTTTTGTATTATTTTTATTATGACCAATAACTGAATGATAGCAGATATTGTAAATATTAGATGATATGGTTCTTTTTTTAAACAAAAAAGACAAAAATCTGAATTCGGTTATTACATGTTTGACTTTCAAATCAATCAGTAGACAAGAAATGATTTATTAAAATGAATATTGATACAACAGTCAATTATATACAAATATTTGACTGCAGAATGTTGAGAACGACAAATCACAATCAGATATTCATTTACATTAACATTTATATTAACAATAATTAATTTAGCAGACGCTTTTATCCAAAGTGACATAAAAATAAAGAACGTCATCAGCATTTTATCATAAGAATCACGGTATTAGCTGCACACAATGACAAAATAATAAACAAATAATAAAATAATTGATAAATAATATAAATAAAACTTTTATTTAATTAATGATTTTTACTATTTTTTATTTGTTTTATTAATTTATTTTATTATTTAATGAATGAGACAAAAACAAATATACTAAAAAGAAATGAATAATCAAAAAGCAAACAAATATAATGTTTTTAATTATTAATTAATTTTTTAGTATATTTGTTTTTGTTTGATTCATTAAATAAAAATAAAATAAAAACAAATAGATAATTAAAAAACATTTATATTTGTTTGCTTTTGATTATTAATTTATTTTTAGTATATTTGAAGTCTAAATTATAATTACTGCATGTAATCATTTAACATATTTTTTAAATAGAATCTAAATTTATGACAAGAATATAGATGTGCATGTAAGTTAAATTGCACTAATTATTTATCTTCTTAAGCTTAGTGATTTCCTGAAGCATTAGTGAGATTTTTAAATGTTTTTTGAAAGAAGTCTCTTCTGCTCATCAAAGCTGCATTTATTTGATCAAAAATACAGTAAAATTGTGAAATATTATTACAGTTTAAAACAGCTGCTTTCTATGTGAATATCTGTAAAACTGTAATGTATTTCTGTGATCAAAGCTGTATTTTCAGCATCATTACTCCAGTCTTCAGTGTCACATGATCTTCAGAAATCATTCTAATATTCTGCTCGAGAAACATTTCTGATTATTATCAATGTTGAAAGAAATCTTTTGTAACATTATAGATACCTTTACTGTCACTTTTGATCGGTTTAATGCATCCTTGATGAATAAAATTATTAATTTCTTAGATATTTAGATATTTTTATTTTTATTATAATTATAAAATATTATATTTATATGTTCATTTTTACGGATTCACAGATGAATAGATGAATAAAATGAATAAATAAACTTGA